GCCGATGGAGCAGGCCCAGTGAAAATCGCGAGTTGCGTACGCACCTTGGTGTTCCCGCGGAGTGGATTCAAGGGAGGGCTTAGGGCTCTTTGCGTCTGCGGGGAGGCGACCTGGCGATCGCCTCGGCTACGCTCTCGCACCACGCCCCGCGCACGCGGTCGCGCCCGCGCTTATCATCACCGTCACCGTGGCCGGTCCTGCGCCGGCGAACGCGAGGCCACTTGCCGACTTGCCTTTACCTCAGGACGCGTGACGCGCGACAACGACAACGATAGCCGCCATGGCCGGTATTCGGCGGCGAGCGTATCGATCGGCACCGAGCGGGCCTCCATCACCACCACCACAACAAAACGCGGACACGGTACCGGCCATCTTGGGCGAGTCTGCGCGATGCAGGCCCACCCGAGCAGACGATGCGAAATTGCATGGATTTCGCGGACGGCGAGGACGTCGCGCGCGCCCGATCCCGATCGCCGATCATCCGTGTGCCAACTTTCCAAGCCTACCGCGCCAGCACTCACCGTTTCCCCGTTGAAATCCACCGAACGACAGCAGCGATCCGGGAGAACGCCAACGCCATGTACATATATACAAGCTTGGTATAGCGCGATTGGCGGGAATCGCTTGGGCACGCGTCATGGCGGACCGCGTATCTACGTCGCCATTGGTCTGAGGGACACGTGACTGCCTGTGCCGTTCTCGGCTCGGCTCGGCGCGGCGCGGCGCAGCACGACCGACGACGTAATGTAATCGTAACGTCGCCTGTCCTGTCGGATCGGACGACCATAACCTACCTGTTCTCACATTACGCATTCTTCTCGACTACACCTTTCTTCCGCGACCTTCCTCGGGGCTCGGATCTCTCGATTTCTGGCTAATTGGCTACATCCGGCGTCGCTCGTCTCGCCCTCGACAATCGTCCGATTGTTTCCGCCGCGCGAAAATACACCTCGCAAATGTCAGCGCCACGTTCGTTCACGTACGCACTGTTCTCTAACATATTTTTGCCATCTCACGTTGAAAAGAGATTTTCCAACTTTGATTATTTACCGTGCAAGTTTTGAGCTATAAGCCAAGGGCTTTGACCCTCTGATTAATTTCATCAATAATTTATCAAGTAGAAATCTCTATGTTAAACAATAGAATTAATTTTTTAACAATAAATTAAATCGGAGCACATTGTAAACGTGGTGCTTTCCAGTAAGCGTAACACAGTGATCTTTGTTTAGCATTGCCAAATAACAAGTTTTTTCTGTCAAAAAGTAATTCGCTACTTTTTAAGACTGTTACAAGTTACTAATTCTAAACAGTTACAGTTATTGTAGGAAGTAACGAGTAGTTATTTTTTCTGTTAATCTTTGTAATTATTTGCATTTCTATTTTAAATACAAGAATCTTACGTTTTTGATATTACTAAATCATTTTACAAATCTTAAAAGAAAGACATGCTCGTATATGCAAATCAACTTGAGATGGTAAAGGCCAAGAGCTAAAGAAATAGTACAAGATGTTTAAATTAATAAATAATAATGAGAGTTTACTGTATGTTAGAAAATTGAAATGGTATGTCTCGACACCGAGTCTTCATTCATAAATTTTTTTTATTTAGCATTCGGTCATATATGTGTTACAAATTAATATATATAATTAGAACCAAAGTTATGAGATTAATGTTGAAATATATCCTCGTATTAAAAGACCTTCAGTTTAATTCTTAATATAGACATTTACAATGTACGATGATTATCGAGGATAATCAAATACAAGAAATAGTCACAAATTTGTTCCCTGAGCATCCACTTTATTTTGGTCAGCCAATATGTTGACGAATAAGTTTAAAATATTTAAAAAGTATTACTTCATTATAGTTACAGTTACGAAAAAAATGTAACTACTTAAATGTTTAAAAGTATTACTACCTTACCGAAAATTGTGGTTTTTTTTTCAGTAATTAGCAAAACTAATTATAAAAAGATATATACATTGTTTTATAAGGTGAGCTTATTCTTATGAAAAAATACTCGATAATTACACACATATATTTTCTTATATAATTTAAATTATAGCAAAGAATAATTCATGATTCATACCTACATATTCTTTGCTTTAATTAATTAAAAACACAAATTTGCTTATATAATTTAAATTATACATACTCTCTGTTTTAATTAATTTAAATTATTGCATAATCATAAGTTTCAGAATCGGATCTCTTGTATTCCGAGACCTCGGTGGTCTAATGGCTTAGGACGCTCGTACGGAATACAAGAGATCCGGGTTCAAGTCTCGGCCAAGGTAATATTTTTCGCAATAAATTTATTTAAGGTTTTCAGCACATTGTCAATGTAATTTAACTTGTGATATTATTGCAGTAGTTTAATTGCGTTAGATAAAGTTCGGAAAAATTTCGGCGCGCAGTTTGAATAACTACAAAAATATGATATATATTATAGGATATAGATAATTCACTGGGAATTATTTAGGCAAAAAAGATCTAGCTTTGACCGTCATAGGCCTGAATATGTTTATACTTAGTGTTTAATTTTGTTAATTATTGAATAAAAAACCGTGATTTTTAGATAATACTTTTGAACTTACTGAGTCTTTGAATTTACTGAGTCTTTGCTAATCTTTGTAAAATTTCCATTTTTAGTATATTATATTCGTCAATTCAGTAAAGCGAAAAATTTGGGTAATAACTGAATGTATTTAATCAATATAAAATTGATATTTAAAATTTTAAACAAATGCAGTAGGTACAATTGTTGAGTTTTTCCTACAAGAATAAGCTCCTCTCTTAAAACACTGTATACATGTTTTTTTATGACTAATTTTGTGAATCACTGAAAATACCGCGGTTTTTGGTAACTGAAAAATGTATTAAAAATTTACATAGAAATATTATTAAGCAAAATCCAGTTTAGATTGTATTTGGTGCTTCTTCTTTGTATTATTTTTTTATTTAATATGTTTCTTTGACATTATATCTGACGTGATGCAAAGCTGCATACATTCAATAATAAATATTTCCTGGAGTTCATGTAGAAATTTGCTAAATATGTTACTGCTTTCATTCTGCAAATAAGCGCACTATTTGTTAAGGACATATTACACATATTTTTTAATAAAATGAAAAAAATGAAAAGATTTTCCTGTATTTTATTTAATGCATTTGAAAGTAAAACAATTTGGCAACAATTTAGAACTTAAAACAAAAATTATTTCATTAAGAAGTTAACATATTTTTAAGTAATAATTAAGATGAAAAGAAAAAATTTTCATTTAACTATAAAATTGTATTGTTAAATATAAAAATTTACATATATTATTAAACTGTTTTTACATATAATATTAAACTGTTTTATATATGCATAACTTATTTTTATGCAGAAAGTATAAATTTTCAATTCCAGTCACTTTTTGTAGAGATTATTCATCTGATACATTTTTGACTTTCCACGATGTTTTTGGTTTTCTATTTTTTTACTTTTAATCCTTATTGCATGTAATATATGAATAAATATCCATATCAAATAATCTTTGTTATTGAAATTGTTTAAAAAATATATCATCAATAATTTTGTAAATGAAATTTTTTTACTACATTGGTTTATATAAATTAAAAATTCTTTCGAGATTAAACCTATATCATTTTTTAAATGTTTTATATTCAAGTATTAAAAGCTATTTGAATCTCATTTAAAAAAATTTGTATTCTTTTCACAATTTATAATAAAACTACATTTATTTATCTATATTCTAAGATGTACAAAAAAAGATAGTATAGGAAAAAGAAGTCCATCACAGGCACACTACTACAATGCTGAATTATTTCATAGTCGTGCTTTCTAAAACCATTATAGAAAATACATTTTGTCCCTATTTTGTTTTTACAATTGTTACATCTACAGTATAAAAGTAGTATTAACTAAATACAATAATGTTGTAAAATGATATAAGCAGCTCTTTACATATCACATCTGAGGCAGAGATAAATTGGAAACTATGATGAATTTTACATCACGCTAGTTACCAATCGAGATTTGGATCTAAATCTTGTGAAAGCTTTAACGTTTTTCTTTTCACATCAAATAAAAACAAGAATACACTACAATACAAATTTCTTTGAATCATTTTAATATCACGAGATTCTTTCTCTACGAACGCATAGACCTTTGTTTCTCGGTACAATTCAGGATATATATGTAAACACAATCTGCCGTAATTCCATCTAGTGATTTTAGAATAACGTCGCTTTCTAAAGGATTCAGTTGGTACGAATAATAATAACGTTGAAGAGATATTTCATTAGTCTCTAAGCCCATGGCTTGCTTTTGTGACAAAACTTTCCGTACCAGCCAGCTTCACAGAGGCATGTGTCGTTTGATTGACAAGTTCCATGTTTACACGGCTTGCTACATGTTGAACGTTGTGACGTTATATGTGTGGTTGCAATTTCGCAGTGATTGCCTTTATATTCGTTTGAACATCTGCAGATGTTAGTGCCCTTGCATTTACCTCCATTGAGACAAGGAATAACGCATTTGGCTGAAAAGATAAAAAACATAATAAAGATTTTGAAATGTTCTTTGAGACCCGTTGTTTGTACTCACAAAATTCGCAGCGCAAGCCGAAATAGCCTTTTGGACATTCACAGATATCCTTTTGAATACACTTTCCTCCGTTCAAACATTTTTCTGTGCAGATACCTGTGCAGAAATTGTTTGGCATAGTTAGTCTTCATAAGTAGTGATAGAAACCTAACTTTTTGAAACTTTATACAGAAAAATGTTGGTTATCAGAGGAGTGGATATACGACTGGCCAGCACATTAACTGCCAGGAGTTCATCTGGAAAAGTACTAGACTCCATAATAAGAGTCGATCATGCCGGCGAATTAGGAGCTGACAGAATATACGCCGGACAAATGGCCGTACTAGGTATAGTTGCCCGATTTCATAATGTATGGTTGTAGATATAGATTAGAATTCTAATGGTTTTCTGCGAAACCGCAGGCAGAACGACGGTCGGACCGACTATACAGCACATGTGGGATCAAGAGAAGCGACACCGCGCCAAATTCGAAGAATTGATTCGCAAGTACCGAGTCAGACCCACCGTCCTCACCCCGCTGTGGAATATCGCCGGGTTCGCTTTGGGTGCCGGTACTGCTCTCATGGGCGAGAAAGCAGCGATGGCGTGCACTGTGGCAGTGGAGACTGTGATCGTCGAGCATTACAACGATCAATTACGTATGTTGATGGAGAATGGTGACAATGTGGACAAAGAAATACTCGAAACCATCAAGAAATTCCGAGATGAAGAGCAGGAGCATCATGATACGGGCCTAGATCACGGCGCCGAGCAAGCACCGTTTTACCAAGCTCTAATAAATGTGATCAAATGCGGCTGTAAAACAGCTATTTCGATTTCCAAAGTGATATGAACGCATTTGCAAGTGTTCAAGATTGAACGTTAAAGATGTAAAAAAACATAACAATTGTTACTTGTAAATAATGTTGTAATTTATATAATAATAGTAAATTTATATAATATAGTAAATTATACTTTGAATTTATACGTAAGGAATTAACCTAATAATATTCGGGATACCCCGAATTTAATAGAGCATTTTTAAATCACTAATTTTTTTATGAATTGCAATATTCTATGGAAATTTTATTTTTGTGAACTTATGGAGTAATTAAAAGATGCAATTTAAATTAAGTAGAAATAAATAAAAACACTATCATGTAATCACTTTTCAAATGAATCTTCATGAATTATGTAATATATGTACCAATTAAATTAATTTGTATAACCAATATATGTATAAGGAAGAAAATTCTAAAAATGAGATCCACTCGAAAAAAATAAAAATTTTTATTTTCTAATTGAATTTTTAATTAAATTTTATTAAGATGTGTACCAAAAAAAATAAAGTTTACCATTAGTTTATTTCTTCACATAATCTTTCAATAGACACAATTAAAACATTTGTTCCATTTTACAACATTTCAAGATATCTTTTGCATAAACATTTGTATCTAAATTGCTAAACTAGTTTTACGTCTCGTTTTCCACTTTTTGATCTGATATAAAATGTTTTCCCGATAATGGTATTTAACTTTCTACGAAGATAGAAATCTGAAGGTATGCGAGATTAGGCAAATAAACGTGCGTTTTTAGACGTAAAGGAACTACTTGTCAACTTTATTCACAAAAATGAGATAATGCTGGGTCTTATACCATTTAAAATATTCAAACTTTGCGAAAAGTTTGTGACAGACTATTCATCGAAAATCTGTTGTAATACTCATACTTTTGTATGGCAATACAGCTTTACACAGCTATAGGAAATGAATACTATAGGAAAGCTTTTAAAATTTTTACATAGAAATTTGAATTCAAGTTGTATTGGATCAAGAAGTGAAACACAAAACTGATTCGGCAACTTGAATACAAATTTCTATGCAAAAATTTTCTTGAAATTAGACGTAATACGTGCTTGGACAAACGCTCGAATCTATTGAGAGATATGAAGAAATAAGTTAATATTAAATTTAAAATTTACTTTATCACATATATTTCGAAAATTCAAATGCAATTAAAAAAATGTTTGTTATCTCTTTTAAGCGAACTCTACTTTTTTCCGTCGTATATTTATGTAATTTATTATACCTCCTTCGCAGTAAGGACCCTGATATCCTGGCGGGCACGAACATACGCCTGGCGCCGTACAGTTACCACCATTCATACAATTCGGATAACAAAGCGCTGTTTTACAATTAGGACCTAAGTAACCATCTGGGCAGGGACCAGGATTAGGCTCTGCAAAAATAAAATCTAGTTAAAAAATGGAATATTATCATGATGTCTGTAAATACACTGTTAAAAATGTCATGAAATTTAATGTACTTTTAAGTTACATAAATTAAATTAAATTTTATGACTACATTAAATTTTATGTATCTGTAACTGAAAAGTATATTTGTGTACATGTACATGAAATTTAGTGCACGTTTCATAAAATTTTACGAAGTTTAGTACATTTTTTATTAAATTTTATGTAGATTTGTATAAAATTTAATGTAAGTAAACGTTAAATTTATAAGTTATTTGTAACTTTATTTTCATTGACAACACATTAAACACATTACACGTGTAATGGAAGCAAATTTCAAGCAGGCACATTAAAAATGTTTAATGTGTTGTCAATGAAAATGAAGTTACAAATAACTTAAATTTAACGTTTACTTAGTTAAATTTTATACAAATCTACATAAAATTTAATAAAAAATGTACTAAACTTCGTAAAATTTTATGAAACGTGCACTAAATTTCATGTACATGTATACAAATATACTTTTCAGTTACAGATATATAAAATTTAATGTAGTCATAAAATTTAATTTAATTTATGTAACTTAAAAGTACATTAAATTTCATGACGTTTTTAACAGTGTACATTACATACATACACAAATATGAACACACACATATTTAATAATTATTTTTATACGATTAAAAACGAAAAATATTTTGATAACAGAACCGAACACGATCTCGCGATTCAGTAGAATATCGTTTGGAAAACATTCTAATTAATTTCAGGAAAGAGCGGCACGCTCACTCGTGCTTGGCGCCCTACAATCGGTTACTCCAATAAGATATTCTTCTAACGCAATCTCATGCAGATTTAATCGTGCATTCCTTTTCAAAAACTTTAGGATTAACCATGAAATTGAATACAATATATTATATTTTCATCTTATTTTATATCATAAAAAGAGAATATGTTTTAGTCTATATAATATAACATTTTTTTAATATTTAATAAATATATATATCTTCAGCAAAAAGATCGTTAAAAAATTTAAAAAACAGAACTGCCAAAATAAAACTTAATAGTGTATAAATTCATAAAAAAAATATAACGACAATTAATATACAATAACTGTAATCTATAGTCAATTTTGTTATACATCTCGTAATATTTTTTTTCTCGTTTATCTCATTTTTATGGCACATACAAGCCGTGGATTTCTTTCGATTGAATATTACTTATTGAAAGAGGAAACTTTGATGAGAAATATACATATTTAATTATTTCACATTGCACATTCGACCTGCTATGTCACGAATTATCATTGATGTATTATCGCAGAAGCGATTGTAACGAAACGTTCGAGAGCATCGTATTCTGTTACCTCTATCTGAATTCGAGAAGATGAAAACAATTATATGTTACGTGAATCGTTATTTGCTATCTTCTCATTCTCGTGATTTATACACTACTCAACAAAATTAAAGGATTACTTGTTCCATCCTGCAAAAATAGGTAAACTTCAAGATAGAATAACTTCGTCAAAAATCATCGTATCGAGATTTTTAAAAAAGCATTCTAAAGCTTGAAATCTCTACTTTTCAAACCTATACTTTAAAAAACCGTATTACTCATATTTCATAAAGTTACACAGACATAAATGAAGATGCATTAGATCTCAACATTTTTTACGAAATTTGCGAAGTTCTACGGAGCCAAGTAAAAATTGTACACAAATGCGGTTTACATGTTTCGAAAGAGTGAATCTTTACCTTCAATTTCTTTTTTTATGAAGCTTCGTACGATTTTTTTTCATCGAGTTATTCAACGTTGAAGCAAAAACGACCCTTTTTATTCAATGTTGAATAACTCGGTGAAAAAAAATCGTACAGAGGTCTATAAAAAAGCAAATTTGAAGATAAAGATTTACGCTTTCGATTGCTGTAAACCGCATTTTTGTGTGATCTTTACTTCACGCCATAGACATTTGTAAAATTTGTACAAAATTTTCACATATGACGGGTATCCATTTGTGTCCGTATAGCTCCATAAAGGATCAGTCGGATTGAAATACCAATTACCGATTTCGAAAGTAAAGATTTCAACCTTTAAAATGCTTTTTTTAAAATTTTGTTACGATCATTATTTATGAAGTCATTCTATCTTGAAGTTAAAGGATCATTTAGAATTAGCTTCAAAAAGGTCAGAATCAAGGTTTACGTATCTCTGCGAAAAATGATAACAAAGTAATGTTTGAAATAAGCGTTTTAAAGCTTAAAACTAACTTCTGAATGCTTTAAATCATTTTTGTATGCAAAAACTTTATTATAAGTCATTATCTTTAATTTGCTTTTTTTATTCAACATTGAATAAAAACGACCCTTTTTGCTTCGACGTTGAATAACTCGGAAAAAAAATCGTACGAAGCTTCATAAAAAAATTAATTGAAGGTAAAGATTCACTCTTTCGAAAGATGTAAACCGCATTTGTGTACAATTTTTACTTGGCTCCGTGGAATTTCGCAAATTTCATAAAAAATTTTGAGATCTGATGCATCTTCATTTATGTTTGTGTAACTTTATGAAATATGAGTACTACGGTTTTTTAAAGTACAGGTTTGAAAAGTAGAGGTTTCAAGCTTTAGAATGCTTTTTCAAAAATCTCGATACGATGATTTTTGACGAAGTTATTCTATCTCGAAATTTACCTATTTTTGCAGAGTGGTACAAGTGAGCCTTTAATTTTGTTGAGTAGTGTATGATAAATTCAACCGATCGCACATGCTGAATAATCCTTCCAATTCTCGATATTATCGGAATATTTACATATGTAAAATACTTAAGACAGATAAACACATACTTGACTTAATGATTAGCAACTTGAATGCATAGAGATTGAGAGAGCTGAGAATAACGCTGAGAAGGGAGAGCAGACTTGTGCGTTCTCTTGCATTAAGTAGGCAATTAGGCTTAATTCGCGGGCGAACAATGACTTAAGAAAGCATAGAACTGGCTAACGCTTAACAAATAAAGCGCCAGGCAAAATGAAAAAAAAATGGATGCTAATGTAGAAAATACAAGCATATAAAATGGAAAAAAATGACCAATCTAGAGCAATGTTTGAGTAAAAAAAATTTAATATAAGCTAAAGCGAGTATTTTTTTAATATCAGACGATAACAATAGTTAATTGCCAAATTGCAAAATGAAAAGTAAGGATTGGCACTGGTATAATTTCTCCGACCGAGTTCATATTTGTATGCGGCATGCACGCGATAATAATAATCCTTGTTCGAGGATAAATGAAACCTGACCTAATAAAATCCTTTCTCGCTACATGCAGCATTGGAAATCGAGCTTACCGAAATTACATTTACTCCCGATCCTTACTCGTTAGCAACACTTGCCTCATTTAATACGCCTGATGCATTAAAAAGAGCGATCGACATTACTCAACACTTTGCAACTGTAATTAACATAATTACAAGACGTTTCGCGGGTTTCCTCCGTGTCCAGATCCATTCTTGAGATGCCAACGTTTCGTGAACCTTGTAGTCCACTTCATTAGGGCGAGCGAGGGGCAGCCTGATACTGAGCTATTCCTCCGGGCCGTTCCTTTTTATATTACGCTGCTTGTTGGGGTGGTGGTGATGGGCGGAGAGGGGGAAGGGGTTGTGGGAGGGGTAAAAGGTGGTGGAATTGGTCGGTCTTCAAGAACCGGGAGAATAGTCTTCCATATTTTATTTATGTTGTAGCCATTATCTCTATTTAAATTGTTAGGATGTTTTTGTATCTCTATGGATCCTCTATACTTTCTTGGAAAGTATATAGTGATGTACTGTTGACTATTGTGGTCGTTTTGTCAAACAGTATTTGATGTCCTGTTTCGATGTTGTGTTCTGATAATGCAGACTGCGTGGTGTGTTTTAGTCTGACATCAAACTTTGATCCGTAGGTTGACCATTCTCCCAGTTTCTCCAATGTATACTTTCCCGCAGGAACAAGGTATTTTGTATACTCCTGCGGAACTGAGTGGAGGTCTTTGATCTTTAGGATTTCTTAAGATTTGTCCTATCTTTTTGGGTGGTTTGAAAATACTTCGGATATTTTGTTTGTTTAATATCCTATCAATCCGATCTGTTATTCCTTTGATATATGGGAGGATGGTTAGGATCCTTTCGTCTGGTTGTGTGTTAAAGACCGTTGTCTTGTTTACATGTTTATTGATTATTTTGGTTATATCTTTTTTGTCGTGTCCGTTTTCCTGTAAGACCAGTTTGAGGTGGTTGAGTTCTGTCTGTAGATGTTCTTTGTCAGAAATGGTGAAAGCTCTATGTACTAGTGAGTTGATTGCTGACTGTTTTTGTGCTGGGTGGTGGTGCGACTCGGCATGTAGATATCTGTCTGTGTGTGTTGGTTTTCTGTACACTTGATGGCCTAAGGTACCGTCAGCTTTCTTAGAGACAAGAACGTCTAGGAAAGGCGAGTTTTCCTGAAGAGAGCCGCTCCTGAAGTTTGTTCATAAAATTGGTTGTTATAAATAGGAGAAATAAGTGATTGTCAAGCAGTGCTCTATTAGCGGGATGAGGTCGGGAGGAACTTTATTATGTTTAATGTGTCTTTTATTGGGACTTGTGTGAAAAGGGACTCTAAGAGAAGATTCAAAAAATCCGACTACGTCGCACAGACCTGCTCGTAAGTTTCGACGTAGAATCCCTTTTCACACAAGTCCCAATAAAAGACACATTAAACATAATAAAGGCCTCACATGAAGTCCCTCCCGACTTCATCCCGCTAATAGAGCACTGCTTGACAACCACTTATTTCTCTTATAACAACCAATTTTATGAACAAACTTCAGGAGCGGCTCTCTTATTTCTCCTGTAATGGCCAACATCTTCATGGAGCATTTTGAGAAAGAGGCCCTCAGAAAAACACCCAAAAAACCAGAAGGTTGGTTCCGTTATGTAGACACATTCGTGGTATGGAGACACGGCAGAGCCGAATTACGTAAATTCCTTGTTTTCCTCAACAAACAACATCCAAATATCCATTTCACCATAGACATAGAGGAAAACGGAAAACTTCCTTTCCTAGACGTTCTTGTCTCTAAGAAAGCTGACAGTACCTTAGGCCATCAAGTGTACAGAAAACCAACACACACAGACAGATATCTACATGCCGAGTCGCACCACCACCCAGCACAAAAACAGTCAGCAATCAACTCACTAGTACATAGAGCTTTCACCATTTCTGACAAAGAACATCTACAGACAGAACTCAACCACCTCAAACTGGTCTTACAGGAAAACGGACACGACAAAAAAGACATAACCAAAATAATCAATAAACATGTAAACAAGACAACGGTCTTTAACACACAACCAGACGGAAGGATCCTAACCATCCACCCATATGTCAAAGGAACAACAGATCGGATTGGTAGGATATTAAACAAACACAATATCCGAACTATCTTTAAACCACCCAAAAAGATAGAACAAATCTTAAGAAATCCTAAAGATCAAAGACCTCCATTCAGTTCCGCAGGAGTATACAAAATACCTTGTTCCTGCGGGAAAGTATACATTGGAGAAACTGGGAGAATGGTCAACCTACAGATCAAAGAACACCAACGTGATGTCAGACTAAAACACACCACGCAGTCTGCATTATCAGAACACAACATCGAAACAGGACATCAAATACTGTTTGACAAAACGACCACAATAGTCAACAGTACATCACTATATACTTTCCAAGAAAGTATAGAGGAGCCATAGAGATACAAAAACAACCTAAGAATTTAAATAGAGATAATGGCTACAACATAAATAAAATATGGAAGACCATTCTCCCGGTTCTTGAAGACCGACCAATTCCACCACCTCTTACCCCTCCCACAACCCCTTCCCCCTCTCCGCCTATCACCACCACCCCAACAAGCAGCGTAATATAAAAAGGAACAGCCCGGAGGAACAGCTCAGTATCAGGCTGCCCCTCGCCCTAATGAAGTGGACTGCAAGGTTCACGAAACGTTGGCATCTCAAGAATGGATCTGGACACGGAGGAAACCCGCGAAACGCATAACTTTTATACAGAAAGCACGCGTGGAAGCCTCAAGAATGTTATAATTACAAGACATATGTATTATACTAAGATAGCGTTAATAAAATCTAGTTCCGAATGAAAATGCTTTTAGACAAAAGGTAAGCCACACAAAAACAGTCTACGTTTCCACCTTGCGAACGGCGATGGGTGCACGAAATTGAGATCCATCGTTGAGACGACGTTAAAATATATATTATAGAGTCTTTAAGATCTCTTTCTTGCGTTATTTCTTTATATAGGTATCATAATGCACAATTCAAATAAATATTTATTAATAAATGTACAAGTTTTAATAAATGTTTATTTGAATAGTACCAACTAAATATTTACTTCCAATAAATGAATGTTTATATATTCAATAAAAAAAAATATTTATTCAATAAATAATATTAATTAAATCAAATTAATTCTTATACTATATTAAATGAATGATTTATTAAGATTTAATTCATTTTTTCAGTAATAAACACAGATAAAAAGATTATGAGCGGATACATAGTCGAATCTTATATTTAGGACCGTCTATCATGAACTAATCAGAAAGCCATACTAGCATCTTAAGACATTATAGACGATCTTAAAATAAGAACGAATTATGAATACCGTCCTCTATTCAATGAAAGCAGATCCTAATGCCTACTAATATTTTTATTATTAGGTATTAAAATTAGGCAGTAAATTTCTACAATTTCCAATTCAAGCAAATTGTGTGCCGATTGTTTATCGGTCTTGAAACACAATTTTAGACTGAAGCTGGACTACGTAATATTACAAATTAATTTGATATTAATGATGCTAATGAGCATTTTTCAAATATTGTAAAGAATTTATTATGAAAAATATCATTTCAGGATTTAAATCTGTTATTTTGTGCGGGTGTCTTCTAAATTCGTTCCAGCTTCAATATAGGACTATATTCCAAGACTGACAAATAATTGGCGCGATTCGATTAAACTGACAATTGTAAAATTTACGTAAAAGTATTATATTAGACACTAAAATTTGCTTTGATCGAATATGACTTTCTTCATTGATCTGAGTTGAATATTTCGGACAATGTTCATTTAACATAAATAAACACGAACAAAATTTACTGAAACACGTGCGTCCTCAGGAACTCGAGAAAATTTTGAGACTCAAAGAAATCTCTTGTTTCCTTCCGTTTTGATAACTGAAGCCTCCAGACGCTTCGACGTGCTCTTTTTTGTAACGTGACGAGAAACGAGTACGCGTGTAAAATTAGCCACGTGCAAGTTTTGCGAGGACGTTAGGAAAAGGTCCAAGTTAATCGATCGCTACTCCCTTTGACACTTTGACAAACGCAAGCATCCTCGTTTGGACCGGGATCTCGTCGCGATGATCGAGGCTCGGAGCAACCGTTTAACGACGTAACATCCATAAATCTCCCAGACACTGTGGAGCGGTGGAGATTCGATGCGCCTCCCTCACACAATTATCGGACCCATCGTTCCGGCCGGCAAGCGGGCAGGTACAGGTAGATAATCTTTCTCTTACAAAGTATCAAAACGTGCGCTCATACGCGCATCAGGTACATGCCACGGTTGTCGATTAAATAAAAAAGAGGAGAGCCAGTCGGAACGAATGAACCATGCGCGAACCGGATTTCGTGGGCGCGTTTTACGCACCGCGATGCAACATCCTCGCGAGCGGAGGCGAGGAAAAGATCCGGCTGATTCCTGACTGCCTCTCTCGCATCGGTCAAGAGCATGCAGCAAATTAGGCGATGAATTACTGCTGATACAGAACTGTATGTGCGAGTGAAGAGGTGGTGATCGTGAGCGCGATTGACGGACTCACCGCGCACGGTGCATTCTTTTCTTAAACTGAGACGAAGGGGCGTTCCGTTTAGAGGTTTTCCCTTGAGGGTCTCGATCATCAGACTGATCCCGAATTGCGCTATGCCCGAATTGCCAGCGCAAGGTAGGAGAATGCTGAAATCTGCAACGGAAAAACAAACAGGATGAGATCTGCTCTTGTTGTTGTAACTAAATTTTCTCTATTTCCTATCTCTCTTCATTCATCTTCCAACGTTCGATCATAAGCGTTTTTCATTTTAATTTTGACTCTTAATTTTGATACTATTGAAATGTTTATTCTCTCAAATTTTAATTCAATTCTTTGATTTATATTTTAATCTTAAAAAGTACGCTAGACCTATTATGAAAGTTTCTCGCAGTTCGATCCCTTTGGCGATATCACGTGACGTAATATTTCGATCTAAGAAAAAATTATACTTATAAAGTATATTTTATATTTATCCGATTTAAGAGAGAGAACTAAAAGTATTTTATGCTCTCTAATTACGCGCGAATCTATAGAAGTTTCAGATTTTATCGATCAAATTTTCGATGCGTTCTACAGTACAAAATTATATAATCGCACAAATATAAAAATATTTTATTAAAAAATATAGAAATAATTTATCTTCGCACACCTTATTAAAAAATCAGGAAAAGCACTTTCTATTTCGATAAATAGAGTCAAACATATCTTATTAATAGTTAATAGATAAAATGACACATTTTTAATCATGTAATCAGATTTAATCGAATTTTTTTTCACAGGACAAATTGATAATATTTATTCCTTATTTAATGTATTTAAATAATGACAAAGTTTAGTATTTCAAATAAAAATGAAAAATCAATCAAAAATTATTGATGGGAATTTAATCCTTGCAAATGTAACGTCGTAATAACTCGCTATAATTCGTTTCATTTGATTCGGTCGAACGAAATATTCTTCAGGCAAAGAATATCTTCAGCACCTTCTCTTAGATCAGGTAGATTTTACGCCGCACGCCAGCAAAAGTTCTCTACCTTTGACTATGTAAATAAGACCATCAGAGCACGACACTTATGCAACGCCACATGAAGAGATAAAAGTTAATAACAAAATGGACGTATTTATGAGCGTGTGTACCGAACTCATTATTTTAACGTGTCATAGAACGTGAAAGTGGCGTGATGTCGATAAAGATATATCCAATTGCAAGCGCGATTTTAGATTTATTCGTGAAAATGACATTTTATCGCACGATAAAAGCCGAACGTGCATTAGACTTTGAATTCAGCCTCCAGAGTCCAAATACATATTAACTGACAAACAAAAACGCTACACAGTAAAAAAATTTGTGTATTTGTGTTGGAAACGGTCCAGTCACGTTTGTGTTAACAGTTTGTGTTGAATTTTTTAACATATTCGAGTGTTAATTTAACATAATGTGATTATGTTAGTTAAAGATTTTCTATGAAATTGATATTCAATGTTTTTTAGTGTCAAAAATACACAATTTATGTAAATGAACAAGTAACATAATGTGTTTTAAAACGTAAATTCTAAGAGAAAGACAAATGAATAAAATCCGTGTTAATTTAACATATCATAAATGTTAATTTTCTGACAAAAAATATGCTTTCACGGTTTGTTTACAAACTGTATCGATGTTATCTTTCTTTGTATTTATTCTCTTACATAATATTTGTGTTACCTTCTAACATATTCATCTTGTGTAAAATTAACTCAAAAATTTGAGTGGACCGTTTGAGACATGTGGTTTATGTTAAATTCAACACAATTTTTCCAACTGTGTATTAGCACGTTAACGCTCATTGATACGAAGCGAAAAATGACCGCATTAGCAAGATGAAAGCTTCATCGCAATTTACAATGTTTCGAATTTTATATCGTTTTACCTCGAAAACTATTAACTGGAATAAAAAATTGCGGATATTTCTCTGGTATTTAGATTCTGACAATCTTTTTCTCCGCTGCAACATTTCTGTATTGCAAAATCTTGATTTATTGATTTTTTGTGATAAATATTTTATGTTTATTCTTAACGTAAATGCTGTGCTTAACGGACTTTATCTTAGAACGCTTTATAAATAAATTCTCAACAGTAATAATAATTTTGTTTCTTTTCATAAAGAATTCCACATAATACTAGGCAACAAAACCTTTTTTTGTATCGCGAATGATCTGAGTAATCATTTCCGATATTGTAATTTTACCTACTGAACATGAATCCGTTATTCGATTATTAGTTATTAAAAAAACATGACGCCAAAAATGCTACGAACGACGATTTTGGTAGTATTCATGACGTTACAGTACCAGTAGAAATCCTTTTTTTAATTTTTATTAATGTCACACGTGAAAGTTTCAACTTTTAGTTACCTGTATTATTAATATCTATATTAACAATGTTGTCGTTAACACTGGGTATAATTTATATAATTATATTACGTAAATACAACAGCACGTTTCATCTTTCCACATAATGCAATATTAAGGATGAAACAAAATGCCTTTTTTTATGTATTACATGAAACGAGCTATTTATGGAAATTGTTATATTCCGAAAACGAAAAATTATTCCAAAACGAAACAAAATGCATTTTACAGTTAAAAGTTAATACTTTCGCGTGATATAAAAAATTAAAAAAAAATAAAATCTGCTGCTGATGCTACAACGTTATGAAAATCCTCAAAATCCTTTTTGACGCCATTTTTCTCAAAATTGTGACCGTGACAGCCGAATTTGGACAACAAGATTTGTATTCAGCAGACAAAAATACATTGAAAATGACTATTCGTATTGCAAATTGGTGTTAACAATAATACCATTTAATTTTTCCGAGATTTTTCAAATTTACAATTAATGGCAATAATTGTAAATTTGTTTGATTTATATATATATATATATATATACAGGGTGGACCATCTGAAGTGATCCAGTCAAATATCTCGAAAACTAGTAGGGATAGAGAAAAATGTTTCGTA